ACATTTTCTTTGTTTTCTTCTAGGAATTTTCTGGTTTCATACCTTATATTTAAGTTTTTAATCCATTCAGAATTAGTTTTGGTGTATGGTGTAAGATAAGGGCCCATTTCTTTGTGCATGGGCATCCAAGTTTCCAAACTCCATTTGTTATATTCCTTTCTCCACTGTTTCCTTGGTCCCCTTATCAAAGGTTAGTTGACTGAATATGTGTAGGTTTATTCCTGGGCTTTCTATTTCATTCTGTTGGTCTATGTATCTGTTTTTCTGACAGTACCATATTGCTTTGATTACTGTACCTTTGTATTATAATATGTTTTGAAACCATAACTGATACCTCCAGATTTGTTCTTCTTTCTCAAGATTACTTGGGCTACTTAGAATATTTTATGATTTCACACAAATTATAGGACTATTTTTTCTATTTCTGCAAAAACATGCCATTGGAATTTCAATAGGGATTGCACTGAGTCTGTAGATTGCTTTGGGTGCTATGGGTATTTTCATAGTGTTAATTTTTCCAATTCATGAACATGGGATATCCTTCCATTTCTTTGTGTCTTTGTCTTCAATTTCTTTCAACAACATTTTATAGTTTTCAGTGTACAAATCTTTCACCTTCTTAGTTAAATTTATTACTCAGTATTTTATTCTTATGTTTTATGCTATTTTAAGTGAGATTATATTCTTAACTTCTTTTTCAGATAGTTCATTTTTAGTGTATAGAAGCACAACTGATTTTTGTATGTTGATTTTGTATCCTGCAACTTTCCTATATCCATGTTTTTTCTTGTTGTTGTTATTTAGAGATATAGATTATATAGATTACACACACACACACACATATATACACATCATGTCATCTGCAAACAGAGACAATTTTATTTTTTATTTTTGAGTGTTGCACTGTCTCTTGGGATAGAGTGCCATGATGTCAGTCTAGCTCATAGCAACCTCAAACTCCTGGGCTCAAGTGATCCAATTGCCTCAGCCTCCATAGTAGCTGGGACTATAGACACATGATACCAGGCCCAGCTATTTTTTTCTATTTTTAGTGGAGATAATGTCTTGCTCTTGCTCAGGGCTCAGCTGGTCTGGAACTCCTGAGTTCAAGTGATCCTACTACCTCAGCCTCCCAGTGTGCTAGAATTACAGGCATGAGCCACTGTGCCTGGCCTAAACAGAGATAATTTAATCTCTTCCTTTCAGATTTGGAAGCTTTCAATTTGTTTTTCTTGCTTAATTGCTCTGGCAAGTACCCCCAGGTATCATGTTGAATAGAATTGGTGAGTGGGCACCCTTGTCATACTCCTTGTATTAGAGGAAAAGCTTTCTTTCACAGTTTGGTGGTGGCAGCAGCTTTTGGGCTCATGAGGGTATGAATGTTCTCCAGCAGCTCAGGAGCTTGCTAACTACCAGAGATATGAGGAAAGAAGAAACCCCCACCTACCTTCCCACTGAGCTCCAAGTTTCTCTGGGGTTGGTCTCTACTGATATCTTGTTTCTTCTTGTTCTGCTCCACAACTTCTTCCTGCAGAATCTCTAGAAGGTTTTGATACCTTTCCCTCAGAGTTACATCTGAGCTGTGTTAATTTTTTTTATCTGAAACTTATACTTCTTTTTGGGACAATCTGGCAACTGATGTCTCTAGGCATCTTCCCTGTCACTAATTGGCTAATCTGAAAAATCTACCTTTTAGTTTGCTGATTCTTTCTTCAGTATGATCAAGACTGTCTTCAGCTGTAGGATTTCTGTTCGGTTCTTTTTATACTTTCTATTTACTTATTAAACTTTAAACTTTGTTTATGCATTGTTTCTTTGATTTCATTTGGTTGTCTTTGATTGTCTTATTGCACTTCTTTAAGATGATTGTTTTGAATTCTTTGTCAGACAATCTGTAGATATCCATTTCTTTGGGGATCACTTACTAGAGTTTAATTAGTTTCTTCTGGTGGTGGCACGTTTTCTTAATTCTTCATTATCTATGTAGCCTTGTGTTAGTGTCTTCATTTGAAAGACAAATACCTTTCCAGTCTTTACAGGCTAGTTTTGGCAGGTAAATATCTTCTATTGGGTCCCTAGGCTGAAGGGATTGCCTCTGGGATTATAGTTGAGTGGGTCACATTGCTGCTGCTGGGTATATAGTGGGGCTCACTGTTAGCAGACCTGTCAACAGGGGCTTGAGCAGAAATTGACCCTTTTTTTCCCCCTGTGTAGATTTGACTGCCTCTACATTTTGAAGAATAAAGTTGGGTCTGGGACAAGAATACATCAGTCACTAAGTCCCTGAGCAGGCAGGACTTGTCCCAGATTAAAGCTGAGAAGGAATGGAACAAGTCACAGGGATGCTTTCGAGTTCATAGCTGAGACTGAGTTCTGCAGGCTTGCTTGTGGGTGCAGATGGCCGTCCCTACTGTCAAGTTTGTGGGTGGACAGGACTGTCTCCACCCCATGGCTAAGCAGGGCTGTATCTGGGTCACAGGGATCCTCCAAGATCTGTAGGTAAACTGAGATTGGTAGGCCTGTCTCCTGTGGCACATACGAGTCTGTTTCCCAGTGGTCCCTGGGCAGGCAGATCTGCCCCTGGACTCAGGACTACTTTAAGATCTGCAATGGGACTGCAATAGGTGGGCTTGTCTCTTGGCTCACAGACACGTATGTCTTCCTAGCAGGTTCTCTGGAAGGCAGGACTGCTTTCAGACTGGAGGTGAGAGTCTGGAGCTGAGTTACAGGACTATTTCCGGTTCTGCAGTGGGACCATGGTTGGCAGACCTGCCTCTGGGGGCATGGACTGGGCGTGCCTTCCAAGAAGTCCCAGGGGAGATGACTTTGGTGACAGGACCAAGGACAAATAGGGCTCTTTAACTGAGCCCATTGTGGGATGAGGACAACTCAGGGTCTGTAGCCAGGACTACAGGTGGTGATCTTGCTACCTAGGTGCAAACCTGCCCTCTCAAAACAGCCCTCCCCAGTCTGGGGGTTCCATCAGAGTTTTGCAACCTTTGATCTGAGTCCTAAGGCTCCCACAGAGGGACTTTTGTCTGTGGATGGCTGTCATTTTCTTGTTGCTGTTGTTGGGGGGGAAAGGTACAAGCAGATTATCTGCTGATAATCACATCCACTTGGTGCTTTTCCAATTTCCTTATTTTTCTTTTGTTTCTTTTAAAAAGGAATCTTTTTCTTACCTTATGGTTTCTATTTCTTTGCCAACACAAAACACTGCTTTTATAGTGTTTTATAGTCTGCCCTATTATTTAAAGTTCTCAGGATGCTGGTCCTGGTGGTATTTTTTTGAAATGTAATTTTTTTTTTTTAAGTGTGAGCTTGTATTACTAGGGCATCGTGATTTCCACTTTCTCTGAGGGAGTCTCACGCTGCCTTGGTGTGGGCGAGTCCTGCAATGGCTTCTGTCCTTTCTCATTATTCTTTGTCACCAGCCACTGATTCTCCATGGGGAACATCCTTCTTTCTGCCCAGAGCCCTGGGCAATATGAGTTTGTGCAGCCTCTCCCTGACTGCTTCTTTGAGGTTTGCATCACACCTGAGCCTCTGCTGGGAGGGGATGGTATTTCTGCATGTAACATGCCAATTCCCCTTCTGTTCACAGAAGCCTTTAATTTTCTCTTTTTGGTACATGGTGTTTAGTTTCTCTGTGATCTCAAAAGCTGTGCAGCTGACCTTGGGCAGCATTTCGTTAGGGTTGGGAGGGAGAGGGGGTTATTTTAGCAGAGTCTACTGTGTTCCTACAACCTTTTCAAACTAGGCATTTCCTAGTATTTCCTTCTGTTTCTTGCAACTTTTACATCAAGATAGTCAGTCTGATTGCCCAGGTCAACACTGTGTACTTTGAGGTCTCCTGTAAATTTTTTCTGGTTCATCTTTGTACATCCTTGGGTCAAGTATGAAAATAATTGGGTTAGAAACCATCAAGGTGAGCCAGGTGTGGAAGCTCGAGCCTGTAATCCTAGCACTCTGGGTGGCTGAGGCCGGTGAATTGCTGAGCTCAGGAGTTTGAGACCAGCCTGTGCAAGAGTGAGCTGTCTCTACTAACAATAGAAAACTAGCTGGGCATTGTGGCAGGTGCCCGTAGTCCCAGCTACTCGGGAGGCTGAAGCAAGAGAATCCCTTGAGCCCAAGAGTTTGAGGTTGCTGTGAGCTGTGACGCCACAGCACTCTACCTAGGGTGATAGTGAGACTCCCTCACTGCCTCCCCCCCCAAAATCCCCCAAACATCAAGGTTTCTGTTCATATTTTTAGACCCCAAGAAAGAAGGAAAATGCTTGATGCACTCGAGTTTCACTTTGGGGGGTAGCCCTGTCTTGGTGGGGTCCCTGTGCACAGAGGGATAGCCTACTGGGTGGTGGCAACCGCACATCATGTGGCCCTGGTGAGGCCTGTAGGATTCCTGCCCCGGCCCACTGTCGTGCTGTAGCAGCCTCTTTGGTGGGGTCTCAGTACCCCATCTGTGTTCCCCTTCCCTAGACTCTGCCCCCATTTGATGGTCTCTGACACATGCCATGCTACCTGTCTTCAGTTCCCAGTAGGGAGAGACAACCCAGTTAGGATCCTTCCATGATCCTTCCACTGAGAGATGGGCGTGAGTCCTCCATCCTGAAGGTGAGGGAGCATTTGCATTACAAGTGGTGCTTCTCACCAGAGGGCCTTATCCCCAGGTAAAGGACACTCAGTGTCACGCGGACCGGACGGGAGCAGTGTTTGTGTACACCCAGGAGTGTGTGTAAACGTCTCTGTGTGCCTGTGTGCTGGATGGGCTCATGCAAGTGCCAAATCCCCACACAGAGTGGAGAGGAACTGAAAGGTCTCTGTGGGCAGCACGGGGTCCTGCAGAACTTGGGAACTTGAGAACTAGGGCTCAGAAACTCAGGGGTAGTCTCAGGCATGGCACCACGTGTGGCCCAGGGCAGGCAGGGCTTTGAGACCAGCATATTGGAAGGTGTCCTGTGCTAAGTGCCCATCTCACCTGTCTCCTCCTTTTCTGACAGCAAACAGAAAGATGCACATTTCTCACTCGAAGGTGGACTTTCGGAAGTCCTGGAAGCAGCAGAGCAAGGCGGTGCCCCCAAAGCCCGAGGTCCTGCTGGGCCGGACAAAACGTGTCTATTCCGCATGCCACCAGTGAGCATCTAGCCGCTCCCTGCCAGGGCCCCTGAGGCTGCTCCCACTCCAGCCTGCCCAAGAAGAGGTGCTGGGGCTTCTCCCAGGCGTGTGGTGGGGCAAGCAGGCAGGCAAGGACAGCTGCCACCAGAGGCCTGGCCACTGCAGGTGTCTTGGGGGAGGCCTGTGTGGAGCCTTCGGACCCGCCAGGAGCTATGACACCTGAAGAGCTGCATCTGAGTGTGCTGCTTACTCCTTTGCATGGGGAGGCCCTGCTTCTCACACTCATGTAGGGCCAGGAGATCCCAGTTAGATGTCTGCCTGTTAGACTAGTGCAGATGGCAACTCCCAATAAAACAGCCCCTTGGGGCACACCCAGGAGAGTGGGTGCTTCTGCCAGCGCCGCTGTGTTGGCCTTTCTGCCTCTAGGGAGCCTGGCACTGGGACCCCCCACAGGCACAGGGGCAGGCTGCAGATCCCTTGAGATGACACTTCCTCCTAGGGACACAACCTGTTGAGGATAGATGGGACCATCAGAACATGCTGCCAGGCCCAGTCTTGGGACAACTGGGTCCCCTTACTGTGGCCTCCTGGGCATATAAGGCCACCTGCAAGGACTAGGATTTTCCTGGGGATCAGAGGACCTGCCTGTCCTGTGTGGCCAGAGAAGAGGTGGGCGTGGGGGGGGCAGGTGAGTGGCCCTTGCTGGAAGCTGCCTGGGGTCTCTGCGGCCCCTCCCTCTCCCCTGCACCAAGGTGGGTGCTCAGTAAAGAACAGATCAAGTCTGCCCAGGTGAGACGTGGAGACACAACTGGGCCAATTGGACCCAGCACAGCAAGTGTCCCTACAGACTCCACTTATAGTGTCTCAAGTCCCTCCCTGTCCCCCAAGATGCCCTGTCCCATCGAGTGCACATGCAGTCTCCCCTGGGCTGTGTGGGAAATGAGTTGAGCAGCTCCATGAGGCCCTGGCCTGCTGTAGGTCTCCAGCCTTTTATTCATACAAGGACTCAAAGAGCACATGTCACCCACAGACTCAGAGCAGCGGGGGCACCTCATGGAGGAAGGTCATAACGGGCTTAGCCATTGCCCTGACTGGTGACTACTGGGGGCTGCCCCTTCCAGAGATGCGTGCAGGGTGAGGCCCAGAGCACTGCCCCCTTGGCCACTGGGGCACAGCAGGGGTGCTGCTGCCCTGTACCCCACCTGAGAGCTCCTGACCCTGCCTATCCTGGCACTGGCAGAGAAGGGGCCATCTGGTGAAGCATAGGCTGGGGGCCCAGACTGAGCATGGCTAAGGTCTGACTCCAATGACCAGAGGCCTCGGTCCATGTTAGGGGCTTCCCCAACTGAAGGACGAGGAAGGAGCAAAGCAGAGCTAAGCAGCCCTCCCAGGGCCCGTGTGGGTCATGGCAGCTGGTGTCCCCAAGGGTCTCCTTCCATTGCAGGGCCCCTCTGTGTCAGGAAACCATCCCCCATCATGGGCCTGCTGGCAGCCAGGACTGCAGTGGGCAGGCCCACCCAGGCGCAGGGGAGAGAGTCTGACAGCCTGTAAGTGGGAAGCTCCCACATCTTAGGGCCACCTGGGGCCCTCCAGAGCTATTTTGGAGGGGCTGAGACAGCAGCTTTCGGTCTATGAACTTGTGCACATCTAGAAAAGCCCTTAACTGTTGGCTGGCTGGGGTCAGGAAGGGACCCAGGTGTCTAGTGTCCCTCTGTCTGCAGTGCCAGGTCTTGCTGGTCATCCAGCATCACTGGGGCCAGGTGACAGCCTCAGGTCACTCTAAACCCTGGCCTGCGTCCCCCCAAGCTGGGACCTGGCTCCTGGCCTGGGTGGGGAGGGGGACCCTCACACAGTGCCGGACCCCAGCAAGGGCCACTGTCTAAGCGCCATGTAAAAGGGGACTGCCTACATCTGTAAGGGGCTCTGGGGGGCAGGGACAGCACCCACTCCCCAGAAAGCATGACAGAGAGCACAGCCCAGAAGTGGTCAGCTGCTGCCTCGTCTGGACATCAAGGGATCCCTGACAGCAGGTCTTTTGTGAGGGCAAAGTCTGTGCAGACCCCGCAGCAGCGCCTTCCTGGGGCCACCCTCTCACCTCAGGGTTGGGGGCCTCTCAGTGGCACAGGGAGGGTGGGGCCTGGCCTTGGAGCCCATGCTGAGTCAAAGGTGTCATGCATAATCTCAAGGGTGGTAGACACCCCAATGGCCCTTATAGGCTCCCCCTCAGAGGGGGTGAAGGGATCTCATTTTCGAGACCTGAGCTGGTGGGGTCTGGGGGTGGGTCCCCAGGGGAGGAGGCAGGAGAGGAAGGCACAGGCTTGCTCACGGTCTCCAGCAGGATGTTGCTAATGGTGCCTCCTCCACAGGCCTTGGGTAGGGGCTGCTTCTGCAGGGGTGGGGGGCACTGGGGACAGGGGTGGGAAGCTGGAGGTGCCCCTGAGGTCCCTGAAATACATGGCTTTGGGGGGGCACTGACTCCCAGCTGACCTGAAGGCCTCATACAAAGTTAAAAGCCAGGGGACAGGTGAGGCCAGGCCTGGGCCAGTGCAGTGAGTCCCTGTCCCCACCTGCCCTGTACCCCATGTAGGCCTCTCAGCCAAGGGGAATTAAATATTGTCCATTCTGCATTTTGGCAAAGTCAGTCCTTGGCCTCAGTTCCTTGGGGCCATGGGGCTGTTATCACCACCGGGGCCTGGCTGCTGCAAGGCCCAGGCTGAGGATGAGCAGGAGGAGGAGGAAGGCGTAGGGCTGTGGACAGCAGGCGGCTGAGGTCTTTGCCCCCTCCCGCTCGGACAGGCCGGGGAGGGCGTGTGTCAAGGGTGTCCGGGAGCTGGAACTCTTTTTGCTGGACTTCCGGCCACAGAGGTCATCTGGACAGCCATCACCACTGCCAGAGCCACTGCCGTCATCACCTGGGAAGGAGAAGAGGCTCTTGCAGGCTTGTTCCCACTCAGAATGAGAGTGGGGCCTCCCCTCCCATGAGAATCCCATGTGCCAGGGGACCTGATGTCCTTCACATGTAGAAGCCAGTGGCACCCTGACCATAGCAGCCCAACTCTGTGGGTAGCCTGGAGACTCTGGACTCCAAGTCTGCCCCCTGTAGTCCCACCTGAGCCAGGCTAGGCCTCAACCCTGCCCCGGGACATGGGCTGTGTCCATGCCTGGGTGGCAGCAGTGGCTTCACAGTCACTGCAGGGCACAGGGGCCAAGGGCCCAGGTAAGTGAACCTGGAGGGTGCCTGGCACCCTTCCTCTCCTGGGCGGGCCTGTCTCACCCCGGCTGAGCCCCTCTAGTGCCCCCTGCACCCTGCCCACTTCTCACTGGCATCCTGGAAGTCCACGTCATTGCCGTTGTAAGCGCTGCGCAGCCGGTTGGTCATGATCTTCAGCTGCATGATCTGCTGCCGGATGGTCATGTCTGGCTTGGTGATGTCCACCTCTACCTCAGGGTTGTTGATCTGGTTGGCCAAGCCATCGCCCATTACCTCGGGGAGGTACCTGGGGGCAAGGTGGTAGAGCCCTGGTCACTGAATTGGCCCTGCAAAGAGGCACTGTCCTAGTGGGACGCCCCCACCCTGTAATTCTGAGAGTTCTGGCCCAAGATGCCCGTGTAGCCACCTCCAGTCAGGTGTGAGCTGTGGAGCTGGCATAGGCCAGATGAGGCCCTCCATTCAGCTCCCTGCAGCTGCTGCATGCCATGTGCACGGTGTGTCCACACACATATGGCACCTGGCACCATGTGCCAGCCCATGGTAATCCCCTGGAAAGAAGGGTTTGTGGCCAGCCAGGCAGGTACCTACCGGCCCTTGGCCATCCCATTCCAGCAGCGGTCGTCACTGGCGGTGCTCAGGGCCATCTTCTCGCTGCATAGCGTCCCTGGGAGGCTGATCCAGAAGTCCTGGACATCTCGGAGCTGGGCCTTGGCCTCAGAGACCTGCCAGGCATCAGTCAGGCCACTGGGCTGCCAGGGCCAGTCTGCCCCCTAACACCTGGGGCATGGCCACAGCCAGCGGGCCAGCTTTGAGGTCACTCACCAGCTTCTCCAGAGTGCCCATGGGCGGCTTCTCCTGTAGCACCAGCTTGCCCCGGCGCTGCCGCTCTTCGGGGCCAGGGGCCTGGGGATTGACCTTGGGGTTCCCACAGCCCTGGATCACCTGGGGAGACACCACAAGGGTCCTGGAAGGGCAGCAGGGCACCTTAGGCCCAGATGGGGCCACACTTGGGGGCTTCATGCTTACCACACCCTCCTGCCTGCACCTTGGCCGTAAGTGTGTCCCTGTTGTCCTGAAGGGTGTTGACAGCCTCTGCCAGCCACACGTGCACACTGCCGATGACACTCTCCACACCTGATGGGCCCCAGAACTTGTCGGTGATGAGCACCATGGAGTCTGGCATAGGCATGGACAGACAGGTGCACACGTCACCATGAATGCATGTTCAAACCAGTCTCAACAGCAGGGTCAAAGGCACAGGTCAGCCTGGGAGACGGTCAGCGCACTCTGGTTGGCCAGCTTATTGTCATATGCACCGGTCATGTACACTTGTCAGTAAGCACACAAGTGCCTGTGGGCTGGGGTTGACATGACATGCATAGGGACATTCTGTATGCTTGTCTGGCTACTTGACCTCCATCTTGATGCAAACTGGCTCATGCAGGTGTTGACATGTGCATGAGCTAGTGTGTGTGCAACCTTTGCTCGCTGGTCTGCCTCCTGCCACCACGGACATGGGTACTCACGTGTGTCCACATGTATGTAGTCAGCACACATACATGTAAAACTGACACATCACTCAGTTTTCTTGTTGGCCACACATCATATGTACACTAGCTCCCTGGGTCAGCACGTGCACACCGACCTGTAAGATGCTGACCCACCTCATGTCAGCACGCGTGCTTGCCAACTGACACCTATGTGCTGACATCTATGACCGTTGGCTTGCTGCATGCCAGCACATGTTAGCACGTGTGTCAGCACACATGCACATGACCCACCTCATGTCAGCACATGGACACATAAGCACACAGACTTGGCATGCACTGGCCCAGTCTCAGCACATGTACACAGCAGCTTACATGTATGCTGGCCCACCCTGTGTCTGTGCATATATACATGTTGACTCACACATGTCACACTATGTTGTCATATGTGTATACTGGGCATTCATGCAGTGGGAAAGGACAAGGAACTATGACCCCACGAGCCTCTTTCTGGGTGGCTGCCCCAAGTCACAGACTATTGGTAACATTCAAAAGGCATCCTTTTCCCTTGACTCATGGCTCCACCCAGATCTGGCTCTGAACTGACACCCTTGGACCCCTGAGCAAGACTCTCTAGGCCTCTGGGTCTGAGCCCTGAGCTAGGGTCTCCCTACCTCCAGGTGCCTGGCTGGGTGCCTGAGGATACAGGCCTGACCACTCACCCAGGAGGTTCCTCCATTCGGCGTCCAGGTCAGCCTGGTTGGCAAGGCAGCCCTTGAGCACATTTCGGCAATAGTCAGGGCAGGGCCGGGCACCAGGGACCCCCAGGCAGTGAGCACAGTAGACCAGCTTCATGACGGCCCGCGAGCACTCTGGGGCCAGGGGCACCTGGGGAGTGAAGGCAGCCTGAGCCAGGCCTCAGCACCCCTAGGATGCCTATTGGACCCTGACCAGCCCTGAAGTAGCTCTGGAGGCAGAACAGTCACAGGGCCAGGACTCCTTGGCACTCTGTGGTCACTAACACTCACAGGAAAGCATGAATACTTCACCAAAGCTTGGAAACTGGGGTCCCTGGACTTGGGGAGGGTCTGGGCTGGTCCCCCTGGTGAGGGTCTGGGCTGATGCTTCCTCCCCCATTCTGGGTACAGCAGGCATGGGCTGCCCATGCCCCTGCATGCTGTGGTAGCCCCAACCTGCTTGAGCCTCCCCTCTTCTGTCTCCCGTCTGTCGTGACCCTACGAGAGACAGCCAGGATCCATATCCAGCCCCAGGCCTGCTGACCTGTCCCACCCTGCCCAGGATAGAATGCTGTTGGCAGGCCGTGGGGAGCAGCTGGAGCAGAAGCCTTTAGGTCATGATGGGGCCAGGACACTGGGCTGAACCCAGGGACATGGGAGACAGAGCGTGGAGGCCCTGGGGGACTTCTATGAGCCTGGGCAGCTATACACACCTGGGCCACCTTCCGGACCACGTCACTGGCCACGCCCAGGCCTTGCACGAAGGAGCGAGCAGCCACAAAGGCGCGGGTGGCTCGTAGGCGCAGCTCCCGCGGGGCCTCCCCAAAGGGCCGCAGTGCCTCAGCCTGCTTGCCCAGGCAGTCCAGGTAGTCGTCAGGCAGCAGCAGCTGTGGGTGCAGCTGCCGGAAGAGGCGCTCCAGCAGGCGGGCCCAGAACTCTGCCAGCGTGTCCTCCAGGTGCAGGTTGGCGCCGCGGTAGTAGAGGCGCAGCTCTGTGTACAGGTCCCGGAAGGCCCTGGCGTTCTGCGTGTACAGCTCCCCGAAGGCGCTGGGGAAGGCGTCCTGCAGTGTCCGCTCTGAGTCGTTCAGCAGGCGCTGGAAGTGGTCTGTACACAGGGGAGGGGGTGAGGCTTGGGCTGCTCTTCTACCCTGCTGGCTGCCTGGATGCTGTGGCAGTCACATCGCGATGCCTGCCTAGGATAACCACTGCCCTGAGAACACTCGTGTGGCCAGGAGAGCTGGTACTGAGCTGCAGTGGCCAGATGGGCCAGAGGGTGAGCGGAGACCGCACCCTCCCACCACAGTGCAAAGGCCCAGGCAGTGGGTCCTCTCTTGGGTCTCAGGCCTTTGACACCTGCCAAGTCGCCCATCACTGGGGAAGACCCACACCCACCTCCCCACCTTGCTGGCATCCTGCAGTTCCCTGCAGCAGGCCTGCACTCACCGTCGAAGCTGTGTAGCTGGGCAGCCAGCATAGTCTGCAGGGTGCGGCTGCTGTCCCGCAGCGCAGTCTCCAGCTCAGCCCGGCTGCGGTTGGCCAGATTCTCCTCCATCTCGCTGGTGCAGCAGGTGTAGCCCTGGGGGCAGATCCGTAGATGCTCACCTGTGAGGAGGGGTGGGCATGAGGGGGAGCCAGGATGGCAGCCTCAGGCTCTCCTGGGTACAGGGGCCAGGACAGCAGGCCCAGGATCTGGTACAGCCCCTGTGTGAGGACAGAGACCAGGACCCAGGCAAGGCTGGCCTGGGTCCTGCCATCTACCAGCATGTGACACAGGCAGGGCCTCCTCCCAGCCCTTCAGGGAAGCCCTGGGAGGAGGCAAAGGTAATTGTTATCCTGCACCCAGCCTGCTGCCCCCACATACTTGAGGAAGACCTGGTGCAGGGCCCCCAGCAAAGACCTTGCCTCAGGGTGCTTGAGGGGATGGGGAGGGGCTGCCAGATCTGACATGTGCCCCTGGCCCAGGCCTGTGGCTAAGGATGGGAGGGAAGGAAGGAATCCCAGCCTCCTCTCTCCCAACATCAGCCCCAGGAGGCACCAACCTCCCATTGTGACACCCATTCTGGGCTGGCCAGACACTGGCCCCAGAAGACCCTTGAGCATGGCAAGATCCCAGGCACAAGTCTGGTGAGGGACAGGCTCTGCGTGGGCCATCTGACCACGCCCTGAGCCCCCTGGACAGCAGAACACACCCTGTGTCCTTTAGTCATTCCTCTGGAGTCCCCTCTCTGTGCCCTGACCCAGGCTGTCCTGCTCAGGTATCTCAGTCAGCCTGACAGTGGTGGCACCAATGGAGACAACTTTGCCTCCTAGTGGAGAGTGAGGACAGGCTTTGAGTGGGCATTTGGGTGTGCAGCAGCACACGGCAGGGCCCCTGGGCACACCCCATAGGTGACTGAATGATGGGAAATGTGTGATGGTGTCAGAGGGATGGGGACACATTTACAAAGGTGCCAATCCTAGTCCAATGCAGCCATCTCCACTGTGCAGACTGGGACTGAGACTATAGTAGATTAGGGCTCTTATCCCTGTCACACCACAGGGGAAGCAGAAGCTCAGGCCCCTCCTGCCCACTGGGTCAGGCATAGTAGATGGGGAGGCAGGGGCCTGAGTGAGTGGATGGGCTGGATGAGCAGGGGTTCCAGAAGCCTTCCTCAGGTGTTAGGGCTGGGGCCTGCAAGCCAGAGAGAGGTCAGTCCATTCCATAGCTTGGTCACTATCCAGGGTGACCATCATACTGCCTGTCCTGCACTCTTTACTTCCATGGAAGGCAAGGATGGAGAAGGCATGGGGACCCGAGGGCAGGGAGGTAGGGGGTAGACACACCAGGGTGAATGGAGAGGGGCGTGGGCACCACCTGGGACAAGTGTAACCCTGCTGGGACTGCCTGTGGCTACAGGAGGGATCCTACACCAAGGCTTGGGGACCAGGGAGCCCTTTCCCGCAGAAGCCATCTGTGGGCAGACATCTAGGTGTTAATTACCAGGAGGCTGAGTTAACCCTCAGGAGCCTAGTGGGAGACTGGGTCAGGCTGAACCTGGACATTTTTACCTTCTAAACCCTCCTGAACACCGAGGTGGGGGGGGACGCTGGGACAGGCAGAGAGGGTGGAAGACCCCAGTCTGGGCAGGGGGTAGGCTTGTGTGCTGAAGCGGCAGCAAGGGATACCTCAGTACCACTGAGCTCTGGTTAGGCCGCAGGGGAGGGGCAGGTGGACCACTAAGAGGGCAGGACCCAGGGAGGTTGGGGGAGGGGAGGGTGGAGGCAGCCAGGCAACCCAGAGCTCTCCAGCCTGGGTGTCCTGAAATGCTGATGCAGGAGGCTGAGGCATGATCAGATGGGGTGGCTCTCACCTAGACCCCACAAGAGGGGGTCCCCACATGGAACCAGCACACCATCATGACCCCGGGCCTGAGCGATGCCCACTCAAGTCAGGGCACAGCACAGCGAGTGGCCTGGTTGTGCTACCCCTATGAGCCTGAGGCCTGCTAGGTGGGGGGGGAGGGTCCAGGGAGACCACGTGAGAGTCGGCAGGGTTGGGCCAGCCTGGCGGTGAGAGCCCAGCTATGTGGCCTGGTAGGGAAGGGGTGCCCTGTTCTCGCCCCTGCCTGTCCCTTTCTTTGTCAGTGGAGCAGAAGGCAGAAACAAGAACATCCACCAGCAAACATCCTTCACCCTGCAGCCTTTACTGTTAGAAGTGACGTGGGCAGAGGGCGGGTGGCCTGAGACTTGGCAGGAGGTCCATGGGCTGAGGCTGCAAAGGTGGAAGCAGCCCCCCAGCCTGCAAGGGGGGACCCCTCCCTTATTGGCTCCTCCTACTGTGCCCCTCCCTCTTGAGGTCTCCCAGGGGGTCCCTAGTGAACGCCCCACTGTGCAGACGGGGATGGGGAAGAGAAGCTGAGGAAAAACAGGGGGAGGAGTGGACAGAAAGATGAAAGAGATACAGAGGCCCCAGGTGCAGGTTCTGTGTGGGACTCCCTGGCACTGCCAGCCACCCTCCTACTCACAGCTGAGTGCCACCTGCCTTGGAAGCCTTGTCCCACTCCCCCACCCTGCCTGGCCACCTAACCCAGCCGCCTGGTGACCTGGGATGTTCCGGCCACCCCAGCACAGCCCCCGTCCCTCCCTCCCTCCTCGGAAAAACACGGGAGTGAAGACACGGAGCCAGAGCCCGGGTGCCGGCTGAGGGCCCCGGGCAGCTGGGCCGAGGCGGCCCCCTGACACCTGCTGCAGGTCAGAGGCACTGGTCAGAGGAGGCTTTGGGCTTCCTTCTGCTGGCCCCAGCCTGGTTTAGGCCTGGGTCTAAAGATGAGCCCTGGTCCTGCCTGCACATCACATTGGCACAGGCAGCTCTGTGAGGCAGCCCCTGCACTCTAGAAAAGCAAGCCCCTCCTGGGAGAATGCAAGGGGTGCTGTCCAGGAAGGGATGCTTGCAAGTCTACCTGTCAATACCCTCCTCAGGCCAGAGTGAGTGCCTGTCCCCTGTCCTGTCCCTCTCCCCTCCTCCAGTAAACCCAAGGGAAGCATCAGCCCACCCCCCTGCACTGAGGTTGCCTGCTCAAGGTCACCAGCCCTGGCTCAGCTGGGCCAGTGACACGGAAAGTCCCCTTTCTCCTTCCTCAGTACCTTGGCTGACTGTGCTATAGCTGACCAGTCCTTCTAGAATTTTCCCTCTTTAGTCTCTGGGACTGTTCCTGCTCCTGGTGCTCCCAGGATTGTTTGGAGGGAGGCTGTTTGTTTCATGGCAAGTTTGTCCCCACCCTATTCCCTTTGGGGCCTCCCCTCCAGGACTGGCCCCCAAAGACTCTTGTTCCTCAGGCTGAAAGGCTGAGCACAAACAGACCCCCTGGAAAACTGCTGTCCTGTTTTCTCTACCTGTCTGGGCACTGACCACCTGGGGGCACCCCAGACTCTGCTTCTCCTCACTAAACCCCCGGCCAGTCTGTGCTTTAAAACATTTTGGGCATCACCGCATCACCCTCCTGCCACCTGCTGACACAGCTGTGTCCTCAGTCCCCACCCAGCAACCTCCCCCATAGTGTCAGCACCATCACCTCAAAGTTCTAGGCAAGACCCTGTCCTGACAACAGTCACCATCACCGATGCTGGACAGACTTCAGCCTGGCAGTTGCCTGTGACTACTGGCCCTGAAGCCCTCCCAAGGAGAATACAGGGAGATGATGGCGCCATGCCAAGCCCATACCTCCAGAAGCTTCCACAGCTCACAGGGAGGCACAACCCACCTTTACAGCTGTGTCCTGGACACTCCAAACCAAAGGATCTGGCACCTTAACAGACTCGAATTCAGTGCGGACAGCAGCCTGCACCACTGGCCCGAGGGTGCTCAGCATGGTACTCTGGGCATCACGGCTTCCCATGAAGTAGGGGGAGCCCAGCTCTTCCCTGCCCCTCCCCTCTGCACCACCTTTCCTCACTAACAGACCCTCTTCCCAAAGCCTGCTGTGCCCTTGGCTGCTCCAACCCCATCCAGCCCCCCCGGGGGAGGGCCGGATCCTCTTGGCATGTCCAGCAGCATGCTTGGGGGGCACTGGACAAATGGCCCTTGCGATGTTTCCAGGAGACCACCCACCATCCAGATTTCAGACGACATTCCTCTCATTTTTGCCACAAAAGCCTTCACCCTGGCCAGTCCCTGTCCACCTGGGCACACAGCGTCTGATCATGGGGCAGCCTCAGCCCTGCCTCTGGTGGGCACTTCAGCCACACCTTGCTCTAGGCTAAAGGCATCACATACCTGTCACCCTGTCCCAACATACTTCCCGGCCCTCCCCACCTGCCCAAAGCCCTTGCCACCATTTCACCCAAATAACAGTGTCACCCAGGTGCCCTGCCGCTGCTGCAGAGCTTCCATCAGGCGCTGGGACCCTCCGCGCTCACACTCGGTGGGAGGGGTCTGCCCCCTAGGTCAGCCAAGGCTTCCCCGCCTGTAGAACAAAGGCTGGGAGGCCCCTGCGGCCCCTCCTCTGCTGCTGCAGTGGGGACCGGGATGCCACGATGCGGGTCTCCAGTTGTTGGTGGCCAGAGGCAGAGGACCGCCAGCTGAGGAGCTGGAGAGAGTGAGCAGAGGTCTGGGGACACTCGGCAGCGCTAGCGGCGCAGTGAGGAGGGGCGCTGCCTGCGCAGTGGGCGCGGCGGTGCATAGGGGAAGGGAGGGCGCGGGTGCTGGGGGCTGCGGCAAGCAGCGAGCGGGAGGAGGGAGATGCTATTGGCGGGTAAGGGGCTTGTCGCAGTGGGTGCGGCAGGCGTGGGGAGGGGTGGTGGAAGAGGGGGCTCTCAGGGCTTCGACAAGCAGGGAAGGGGGATGGGCCTGGGGGAAGAGAAAGGGGGGCTTGCTGCAGGAAGGGGGCTGCGGCACACGCAGCAGGAGCAGAGGAGAAGTGGGGGTAGGGAGGGGTGGCAGGGCCGCAGCAGGACACAACCCGAATGGGGTGAAGGCGGGGTACTTGGTGAGCAGAGGCGGTGGATGGATGAATGACTCAGAGAGGCAGATGCAGTGAAGTGGGGACTGGCTTTGGGGCTCCTGATGAGGGAAGACAGGGCTGCTGTGGTGGTCTGGGGGTTGGAGGGGGCTGACGGAT